TAGCTTACCAATTTCGGCAGAGTGCTATCAGTACATAAGGATGGACTTTGCTGTCGATGTTTCAAAGACGCCTTTAGTTATGCGGATATTGTGAATTTCGGGGACCATCTGAGGAAGATGATGCTAATTTGCGATAGTAGAATACAGTCACGCTGTTCCTAGAAAAAGTATTCTGCCGAAATTACTTGCCAGTATTAATTGAATTTTACACTTTACAGCAAAGTCCTGGCGAACATTGTCCACGGTGTTTGACACCAGATTGGAGATAACAACCGCTGGCCATTTGCAAACAGATATTCGGACGGTCGGCGTAAATCACGGGCGTGCTGGGGTCATTTGCTCCCAATCATGTGATATTACCTTAAATAAAGCAGATAGACCTCTACTGGCTTGTCAGCATTTTCCTTCGAACAGCTACTTTCTTAACATCCGATCCTAGATGGGCGAAAATAATCTCTGTTGCTACGTGGGCTTATTGAAGCTAAACCACAATCCTGAGTTTGCGAGTCAGATGGATGTGAAGAGCTCTGATGTAGACGTAGACAAGTCTCCTTCATTCCCCGTAGTTTACCGACTGCTGCTCTAAAGCAGCAACGTGATGGCGAAGGTCAGAGAGCAAGTCAGAGACGTATCCTAGTTTCGACGCGATCCGACTCTAAGATAAAGGCGACGCTATGTCTCAACCCAAAGAGCTCAAGTGAGCCAGCCGTTGGGTTGGTCTCCGCTGGCACTGTCCGATGACCAAAGAGAGACTGAGTGCAATAGTTGCCTTTCCCTTGATGAACGGCTAAGTTGGTGAAGACGTGCAGAGTCATCAAAACTGTTTTTTTCGGATGTTACCCAACGAAAACTAATTTTATCGCGTTGTTCGCAAAAATTGCGCCTTTTCGAGAGTTTTGCTGAGCCATTTAACTGATTGCACGGAATGGAAAACCCGGTGCAAGTACAGTGTGAGAAGAAGGTACGCACAGCGTGGAGTTAGACTTCAAGCGCAGTAGTAGCTCTGTCTTAAGAGACAAAACAAGTTTGAAACCGAGTGTGGTCCACGATTTAGTGAGGAGGGTAAGCTCTATGATCTTGTGTTATTACACTTTTGGTTCGATTTTATTAAAATCAATACGAGAGAATTGTACGAAATTTAGGAGTAACTGTTAATATTCATTTAGTTTTAAAGTGTCTGTGCTGATAAAAACGTACATATACACTGCTCATATATATACAGTCTTGAAGTAATAAAGCAAATAAGATAAAAATCACTCCAGAAGCTATCCTACGAACCCAATCTATATGTTTGTTTCCACGGACTCTTTTATTCAAAGCTTCCTCTGTGCATAGTCCACTGTAACCCCATTGCACTGAAAAATGTCTTCTTGTATACGTTAATTATGCTTTCAGAGTAATTGACTTTAAAGTCAGTGTATATATTATTTACATCTTTTGCTGCCCGCCTGCTGACTGCCCTTTTCGAATTTCGACAGTAGCTGCTGTTGCCGGGACGAACGATGCTACGAATGATTCATGACGAGGCATGAATATCTTAAATTCTTGAGACTGGGTCCCCAACTTTACATTATACTTTCGGTACGGACGGTTGTGTTGTATTAGAACTTGCTAAGAGCCTCATCAGCATATTCGTCAATCTGACCGATTGAAAATGGACTGGGGTCAAGTACTGTTCCGATGAGACAACGACCATAATGTTTTAAACAACATTTATTGTCGTGATTTAAGCGATCGAGCGTACCCCATTTGGATAACTCTAACTATAAGTACTTCTACCCTTGATCACAACAGATGGTCTGGGTCGACTTCGGCTATACAAATTGCCAAGAAACTTGTGAAAGCAACTGGAAGCGTTACTACTTACTGGCTGGGTAGGTGCGGTGATGTTATTTTGCGAATGACCGTCTCGAGGGACGCTAGATTTGCGCTGCATGCATCACTGCCTCTTCTATCTGGCTGTCTTTATTGACGAGTTAACCTCAAAATTGTGTGTACCTAATGTAGTCTAAAGCGTACACCTGAAAATTACGCATCGGCAGAATGTGTTGGTCACGACATTACGCTTCTGCAAGCAGGAATTCATTCAAGTGCAGATCAAAAACAATTGCAAATTAGCGTGTAGAGTCTCAAAGCTTTGAATGACACAGTCGTATCCATCCCATTGAAAATAGCTTCTCGTACGAAACAAACAGGTTTTGTATTGTAATGGACTGAGCAAATAAAGTCTATTCCTAGACATGAGATAATCCGTTAAATTAATGATAGATCGCTCATGTTCGTCATAACGCATGTCATTTAAATCGAAAAAGTAATGGTACCACCTTCAGCAACCGCTAAAGATCTTCAGACCACAGCGAATATACGATATTCTGTCTAGCAGTATTGTCTTTCTTGGCTTTCCATGTTTTTAAGACGAACTATTTTCGACTCAATAATCACTGCTACGGCAACGGAAATGAATCAATAACATTACAAAACGTAATGATGTGCAAGATTGTAGCTATTGATGATGCTTCACCTTTACAAGCGCTTTGTTCCGCAACTCATCAGTCCACCTACTTACGAAAGTTGCAAGACGTTTCGTAGCCATGATGTGTTTGAAACCAAGTTGTATACTAAACATCAATGATGCACGCCACTTTTAGAACAAGAGCAAAAAACACCTTGTTTCTGTATGGAAACTAATTACAATGACTACTTAACAGTTTATTTGGCCTTTTCGTGGCCAAAACAGCATAACTCTGGAACAACGTTGAATCTAAAAATGTTGTGGCGTATTGTCAACTTCCTCGTTTAACAACTCGTCAAAATTATCTCGAACAAGTACATCAAAAGCGTATTGCTTTTATGTGCTTGGTGCTATCTTTTGAAGAGGCTGTCGCTAACTTCGTGAAAAACTCAGTAGGCGTTTTCAGAGCACTCATGACATAATTTCGCTGACTGCTCGCATTGACATTCGCCTTGTAATGCAAATTTGTGGTAAAAATACCAATCATCTACATTGGACTTCACCAGGACGTGTTTGATGTCTCTATTATATAGTCGTCTACGGTGCACGATCATTCAAACGAGGAGACTTAAAAGGATTGCTCTTGCACTCTGATAAATTTACGAATGTTTTCCTGTAGCTGTTTTAGCACCTTAAATTATCAAGATTGGTGAGAGTTTGGGCGATAGTCTGACAATAATAATATTTTGAACAACAACTCACTCGCTTCATACATATATTTGTATGTGTTTTTGTCATTAGATATTTGTCAAGAGCATCAAACTACAGTATTCAGGCGTCGCAACCAATATTACAATCCTTATTCAAACTTCTGAAGCTTCGCCAGTATTCCGTATGCAAGAATATTAGCTACGCTATTCTTCTCAACAAGAAGCAGAACAAATTTACATATGTCACAGAAGTCCAGCTTCCGTCATTGTGATATGATCCTTCTTCTTCGACTTAAGCAGGTCCTCAAAATGTAGAGTGCATTTACAAGAGCGTATCGAGGCATTTTGCCTCATACGTATTTTCTGATGCTCTTGCATGTGTGGTGCTCAATGAGCTCTAGCGCTGACGAATTTTGCTTCGCACGCTGCACTTGCAATTCAACCACCAAGGCATACAGCAAGAATATCCTACAAATGCTTTGCGATATGTCATTGCAAAAAACATCGAGTTAAGGATTTTGCTATCGAGACGGATTCAGCCCACGCACGTTCTGATCTCTATGTCCTGTCTGCAATTTTGTTGGACTCGCTGGCCTGAGTGCTCTTGTCTAACCGTCGTCGTATGCTCGCCAACGCAGCCACCTTATGTAGCTGTGAATCTCTCTTTGTGCTTCAACTTTAGCCTCTACAAGTAATGTAAACCTTTTACATTCCGTGCACATCGGCTTGTGAGACACGTATCATTACCTCCAGCCGTAAAACTCGCCTATTAAATATCAGTTTTGAAAAGTGATCTTGCCTCTCTATTTCCGAAGCGCGAGCTGTAGCATCAACATTTGCATGGACCTCAAACGTTCTAGTCTTAATTCACTCAATATATTATAGATATTCTGCAATCTCAGTGTCTTCTTATCTATCGCTGCACTCAGCTTCTTTTCTTCACTCAGATTGAACAGGCGAAAACCGTAGATACTTCTATATACCGACGCATGAAATCATGAATGATTTTCGAAACCACTTTGCACAATGCGAGAAATTGCCGCGGGGATGTCCCACAGGTGCTTGTGGTGTGTGCACATCAAGAATTTCTAAATTACAAAAAAAAAAAATGTGGTGGCTATTAAAATTGGCATTTCCGCCAATTGATGTATGTACGCGGTGAATTTTGAGCGTTTGACAATTGTGGTAAAACGCTGCGATACACCGCTTCTAGAACGAGAATTCGTCTTAAGCTAATGGATGTGGTAGCTATGACCGAGCCAACTTGTTTGTGTGTTTCAATTAAAAGGCTTTGTCAAAATTTCTGTTTCTCGTAAATAATAGGCTTGAAATTCAAGTATGTAATTCACGGTACTTGCACGAATTTATAGTTTCGCAGCATAAATTTACTGAGATGGATAAATACTCTTGGCGTTCTTGCGTTGAGATATTGAAAAAAATTCGGATGTTGCCTCGTCTATGAGCGACGTTATGGAGACCAAACTGACCAGTTTGTAACATTTATGACATCATACCTTACGATGCAATAGATATTAAGGGACATAAGGAACAAAGCACAAAAACCAACTTTAAACAGGAGAAAAGGGTCATTTACATTGATCTATTTCAAAGAAGTATTGCCAAGATATCACACTGAACTCAAGCTTTTCTACACTAATCAAAATAAAAAAAGTCGAAATGTTTGTGAACACTTTTTGAACACTTTTTAGTTTTTTCATGACATTGCTCTCAGGAAAAACAAGCTTGTCAATTCGTCGCTCTTTGATTTAGAATTCAGCGAACATGGCCAAACCACCAAAGCATGTTCGAGGTATCAATGCATACAAAGGGTGAGCAGCGTCAAATTTAGCGTCGTACATGCCCGAATGTAACCAAAAAGTAAGAAAAAGATCAGGATCAAATGCGAAACTAGTGCGTATTTTCACATCAATGACACATTTTTCACTCAAAGAGTTGATCGCATTTTGCATGTTCTTAACGTTACATTGAGCAATTGAGCTCCGAACATGTCGAGCAAGCTTTGCGAGCACTGCAGGAAATACGAGATCGCTTTCCTTCCGCCGCGGCTGTGTCTCACTGCTTTAGTGCTAATGTATTGAAAGTTGCTTTCCTTTGTAGTTCTGGGGCAGCGGAGGATCAAAATGGCGCCGAGTCTTCACACAGATCGTAATTTCATCATATGGACATGATCTCTTGCGATCAAAACGGTTATCAGAGCCGTAAATTGCGTCGACTATGCTAACATACGACACATTGGCAGCATTGCCTCTTTTGAGTCCACCGTTAGTTGCCATCTCCTTGATTCACTTCATTACTTTCGCATAAAATGGAAAAGTGTTGGGTTGATGGGGGTGGTAATTGAGCGAGAAGTTAAGCCTCGTCTTTGGCTCCCTGGCTTGACGCTGCTGAAATGTTGTCCCCAGACATTCATAAATGTGAGAAAAGTCTAGCATCGATACCAGTAGACGTGCCCTCATCGATGCCTTGACACAAATCTGCTCTTCTTGTCGCGTGCAGTGGGCATTTAGTTAAACGAAAGTGTCCGAGTTGCCAACTTTGTCGTCAAAGGTCCATATCCTAACTGGCCACGCCTCCAAGAGTCTTTGCTGTCTGCTTCAAACAAGCAATTCCTGTTAAGGGGGCAATATGATATTTTCCAATTGTTATTGTTATTGTAGATGGACGAGAGAACCCTGAATTTGTATTGACTATAGCAGTTAGCAGGTTAGCATATAAAACCACCTTGTTCATGGCAAAAGGTGGGATTTAACGTGATTAAATGCAGAACCGACTCAGCACTTTCAGATCGACTCCTTTTACGAGTTGCACATTTGAAAAACTTGGAATACAGGTAAGTGGCATTCATATAGTATTCTGAAACACCAACACCTATGAATGTCGCTCGATGAAAACGTTTTGTCATCATCAATTTAGCCACCAAGCATTCAACATGGACTTCATCAGGATGTGTTTGATGTCTCAATTAAATAATCTTCGACAATGCACGATCATCCAGACGAGGACACTTCAAATTACACCAGGATTGCTCTTGGAATTTGATAAATCTAGCTGTTTTAGTATTAAGATGGCTGAGAGTGGCTGTCGATTGGGCGACTGTAAGATTTTATCTAAAGTTCTGTTTTGAACAGAAAAACAAGATTTCCGATCTCATATATATTTGTCGTTAGATATTTTCAACAGCATCGAACTGTTCAGGCGTCACAACCAATATCACAATGGGCTGAAGCCTTTCAAAATAGCTTCGATTGTGTTGCGTTTATAATGGTATACTCGCTACGCGATTCTTATCAACAAGATGCAGAAAAGGTTTGCATATGTCGTAAAAGTCCAGCTTCCGTCGCTGTGATGTGATATCTTTCTCGACTTAAACAGGTCCTTAAATTGTAGAGTGCACCTTAGCCTTTTCAAAGCAATTGCTCTTTTAAGTATTTTCTGACGCTCTTGCATGCGTGGTGCTTGGAAAGCCCTAGCACTGACGAACGTTGCTAAGCACGCTGTACTTGCAATCCAATCACCGAGGCATACGTCAAGAATATCCTGCAAATGCTCTGCGATATGACCTTGCGAAAGACATTGAGTCAAGGAACTTGCCATCGAGACAGATCCAGCCCACGCACGTTCTGACCTTTATGTCCTGTTTGCAATTTGGTTGGACTCGCTGGCCTGGGTGCTCTTGTCCAACCGTCGTCATAACAATCCACCGTATGTAGACCTCGTCAATCTCTCTGCGTGCTTCAGCTTTACATCTTGCAGCTCCGACTGTCTATGATGTAAAAATCCTGAAACTGCTCACGATATTGCAAGTAATACTACTCTGTCGAATGAATCTGAGTAGGACTCGGGACTGTGTGTATCCGGCGTAGGGCTTGTTGTTTGAAGTATTTCTATCTAAGATGCCTGCTTTGACTTTGGGAATCATTTGTTGGTATTGATGTGACTACATAAACAACCCTTTGTATTGCTGTCCAGTCTAGCAATTCTTCGCCAGCGTCGTGTTTGTATCCCACTGATAAACAACAAACATTTGTTCTATTTTTCTAGCTCGAGTAGGACACTGTTAAATAACTCATCAGAAAATCCAAGGTTCATTTTTTGAATTTTCAGACCGCTTTTACTGTGGAAGATACATGCTGATTGTTGATTAGGCCTTCAACGATATCGTGCGATGCTTATAAAGAATTGAGACGGGATCTTGCACGATGGATTTTGACAACCAAGACAAAAAGAAACAGTAGTTTTGCTTGGAATCCTGTTTCTTCGTATGCAGTCATGTTCAAAGTGATCGTTGCTGTCTGATATCGGTAAGTGCAAAGAACATTTTCGATCGTGGACAGCCCACTGACATCTGATTCGGGGTTGCTGGTTTTGTTCGTGTTGGTTTGTATTATGTTCTTCTGGTGCAGAGAATTTTGGATTTGAAGTAAAAAAGAGCCCAACTCATGACATTGCTGGAACGCTCAATCGTGGGTGCATAGGTTTACATTACGAAACTACCTTTGAGCTGATCCGATGTACAGAGCCCAATAATTGGTTAGTGCGGTACTAAAATGCTCTGACTTTTTCCGATATTGCGTAAAAAAGATTACAGAATCACTTATTGTCTTAAGGTAGACTTGTCACAATTCTCTTACATATTCTACTTCCTCTTCTTTGTATGCAGACCAGAATTTCTGCTTACGTATGAATGAGTCACGGTGCTACATTAACAATATGTGCGCATTAATAAAGACAAACATAAAATCGACAAGCTAAACTATTGTCTAACAATTTTGAATGTAAACAAATTGCAGGATGGAGACTGCAGTATGCGATGACGTAGTGTGTAGCAGCTCACCGTACTGAATGCAGGAAAACAATTTGATTGTTACAAATCCGATTATTGTGCTGTCGTCCTTTTGTGCATTTGTAAACATCAATAAATTTGGCTAATGCGTGTGTAAACATAAACAAAAATCTGGTCTCATGTGTTGGTTCCTTGATGTCGAGGCAAAAATTCTTGATTGGTTAAAAAAAATAAAACAACTCGAGTCATTGTCAATATGTATCATATCTAAGGCGTTCTTCTAGCAGTGCGACGCTAGACAGATATCTACTTTTAATCTTAGTTTTTCTTACTCCCGACGTATTTAGTTAACATGTAAATAATTCAGATCTGTATGGCATGTTTACTTTACTGTGAACGTCTCTAATGATTCTAGCTTAAGAAAAATACCACTGTGTACATGAGACTGAGTACCGCTGTGCTTCACTCTTGACTTAAACAGAAGATGCGTGCTATGCTTACGGTATGCTTCAACATAAACCTCACGACACAAACCGAAATTCTGAAAAATAAACCATATGTTAAAAATCCTCATCGGTAACACTTCTTCAGTTTCGTTCACCTTCCATTTTCAAGTTGACTTCAAAAGCCACACACGCATTCAAGATGTCAGTTCTGAGCGAGGACGCTCGATCACCGTTGGGCATCCGGTTTTGTGGACCGGAGCAATGTGTTGCAACATGCACACCAAAGAAAGCTGCATTCTCCCCTGCTAGCATACAAAGCTTGTTTCTAAGCAGTAAATCGCTCACTAATTTACTGCCCACGTACAGCCAAATGCCAACTGTCGAAGAGGCTCAGGCTATTCTTGACCGTGCCGCAATCGCTCTTGGGGCACAACGCTATCGGGATGCGTTGAGACTCTATCTTGACGGTGGATACGCTATGGCCAATATAGCGAAACGTCAAGCAAATCCCGTCATTGACAACCTACTCGCAAGCAAGGCTTTCGAAACGTTGAATTGGTGTTTAAGACTTTCAAACTGGATTGAAGGTCGAGTGAAGGAGAAAAATCCAAGACCAAGAGCTGTCAAAGTTGGAATTCCGGTCGAAACGTGGTTTCAGGACTGGATCGGTCTTTACTTAGACGAGGACGAAGCTCGTCGCATGTGGTACACGCCCGTCTACTGTCCGCAATTAATTGACTTTTCCAGCTCCGGATATCATTTACGTTGTGTGGAGGTAGGCAGACGCCCAAGACTCATGATCTGTATCACTATGTACAATGAAGGACCACAGCAACTTCAAGCGACTCTCAGAAAACTTGCTAATAATTTAACATACCTCAAAGACCATGAAGAAACCCTGAGCTCATTTGGTGGTGAGAACGGATGGCAAAATGTGCTTGTCTGCATCGTCGCTGATGGCCGCGAGCAGGTCAATGATAAGATGCTAGACTATCTGACCACCATTGGGCTTTACGACGAAACCTTGATGACAATCAATAGTGCTGGCATCGGTGCCCGATGCCACCTTTTCGAGCACACGTTGCAACTTTCTGCCAAAGGAAAAAAATTCACGCCGATCCAAGCAATGTTTGCTTTGAAAGAGACGAAGGTCAGTAAGATCGATTCGCATCACTGGTTTTTTAACGCATTCGCGGAACAGATTCAGCCTGAGTATACTGTGATGATGGATGTAGGCACCCTGCTGACCAAGTCAGCTCTATATCATATGCTGTTTGCATTTGAACGCAACCACCAGATCGGAGGGGCATGTGGACAAGTTGCAGTGGATAAACCGTTTGAGAATTTGACTAATTGGGTCATCTCTGCGCAAAACTTCGAATACAAAATTTCAAACATTCTCGACAAGTCGCTTGAGAGCTGCTTTGGCTTTATCAGTGTGCTTCCAGGTGCATTCTCAGCTTACCGATACGAAGCAATTCGTGGAGCTCCACTAAACGCATACTTTCAGACGTTGAACATTGAACTGGGTGTGTTAGGGCCATTTCTTGGCAACATGTATCTCGCGGAGGATCGTATTTTGTCATTTGAAGTCGTGGCACGAAAAGACCGCAATTGGACAACGCATTATGTCAAAGATGCCGTCGCTCGCACTGACGTACCACAAGATCTGATTGGGCTCATTTCACAGCGCAAACGCTGGCTTAACGGTGCGTTCTTCGCCACACTATTCAGTATTTGGAATTGGGATCGCATTTATTTAGAAAGCAACCACTCTAGCATGCGGAAACTGGCCTTCTTGGTGTTTTACCTCTATTACCTGCTGTACATGGCAGTTGCCTATGTAATGCCGGCAAATTTGTACTTGCTTCTCTATTTTATCGTGTTTCAAGGGTTCCAGCAAAATCGGCTTGAGTTTGTCGACACGTCCTTGTATTCGAAAACTGTCCGAGATGGAGCAGTGTATGTGTTCAATTGGGTGTACCTTTTTGGGCTTTTGATCATGATCATCATTGGACTTGGCAACAATCCAAAACATATGAAACTCATGTACTACTTTGCAAGTGCTGCTTTTGGATTCATCATGACTATGTCGTGCCTCGTCGCTGTTGGTGTTTATTTATCAATCCCAGCTAATAATCAACTCATTGCCATCTCCATCCTCACCGTCGGAGTGTTCTTTCTCGGTCCGGCGCTGCATGGTGAGCTTCACCACATTATGCTGACGTTCGTGCACTACATGGCCTTGATCCCAAGCTTTGTCAACATTTTTTCGATCTACTCGTTTTGTAACCTTCAAAATTTGTCGTGGGGCACCAAGGGCTTGCACGATGACCCATTGCAGACTGCCCTGTCTGGTGAGACTGAAACGGATAAGTATAAGGGCATTATCGCTAACCGTCGCGCAGTAGAGGATCGCCGCCGTCAGGAAATTGAGCGTACAGAGACCAGACGAGATATTTTCGAGGCGTTTCGCACCAACATTTTGCTTTCGTGGGTGTCCTCAAATCTCATCTTTGCCCTTTTCGCCGTGTCTCTTTTAAATGCGTCGACGTACATCACAATTTCGTTCAATGTAATGGCGGGCATCAATTTGTGTCGACTTCTTGGGTGCATTGGCCACTGGCTATACATCCACACTGCTGGTCTACGTGACGGCATTTTTGCTGCGTTTGATATGACAACAGGGCGAGTTGCATCTCGTAAAAATATCATCAACAGTTCATCACCGCTTCTTCAAAAGACCAGCGTATCTAAGCCTGCTCGAACACTATGAAGATTTGCTTCTGCGTGTCATCGATCACAATGAGTTGTACATGATTGAAATAAGAGGACGAATAAAAAATGTCTTTGCTCGAATAAGTCAGTTGTGTGTGTTTCTAAATGATTGAGAACTAACCTACCATCTTCACCCAGGTTCTTGCAAGAATCAACCTTTTCAATTCATAAAAGTTAAGGACTCGTTTTTACGTTGTCAACCAAAATTGTATAATAATCGATTATTGATAAAGTTAACTGGAAAACAATCTTGACTCATTTTTAATATTCGGGTTAGTCAACTATAAAGTAGAAGGGATAAGTAAATCAGATTTAAGAAGAAAATTAATGTTGCCCAGCCTCTTGCATATTATAGGTATGTGCATTGTGTCCTCCTCCTCATACCTTTCTTGGAGACGAACATGGTTTGGTAGCTACAGCAACGGGTATAAGAGGAGTGATTATCTGATACATGGCTCGTGTCGTATTTTCTTAATGTATATGAAGAATAGATTTGTACTGCTGCGAAACTACCCCGTGGAAAAGCTTATTTCTCAATTCCATAATTCCATCTGAGAGTTTCTCATTTATTTAGTCTCCCCTTACGCATAACAGGTTCCGCAACTATGCACTATACGATAATTTTTTAATACAACAGCTGAAATGTTTTTACGTTTGGAAATTTCTTGGTTGCGCGATACAAGCATGGCCCTTTTGGAGGATCGTCACTCTCGTTCGTACCGAGTCTTGATCTTGTTACTAATTTGGAACTTCACGTTTTTACTTCTTAGCTTCGCTCTAAGTCGAGGGTGAATATTTCATTGTGTGCGAGCTCCATCATGTTGACGTATCACTTCGCATGGAGGTACCAAGAACGAGTCTGTGCTTATAAACTCACAGAGGGGGGCTGGCCTTTAAAATTGCTATTTTACAGAATATCTGGAGCATATTTTTCTGAGCTTACTATCTTTCATGATATAGGTCTCTCACTGTTTGACATGTCACGTTTACCAAATGCCTCCCTTACGGAGTCCATCATACATACATTCACACTCAAACCAAGTGCAATACAAATTCCGTACAATTGTACAGTATTGTTTCAAGCTCAATTTAACGAATGTGCTAGGTGTGTACACAACATTTTCGTGCTTACCCCTAAACACCTCCCTCACTATGATGTGAACAACTCTGAGGCTCGCATTCATTCTGTCTTTTTTGCTCAGTACGCAATTGTTACCACTCCAAAAGCAACTACTACGTTTGCCTCCACCCTCTGCATTTTACCGTGTCTACTCAGAAGAGCATACTTATACCGGAGTCCGATTTTGTGCGCTTTAGCAGATTGCTTAACAAACCAACGGATAAGGTGCGATCCTCGCGACCAATGCAATGATTGCAAGACACGGCAGAAATACCGGGGTTTTCTCCAATCAGAACGGTTGGAACGACTCCGGGTCATTTCTCCGTGCCCTTTCCCAACGGTGAGAAGCACGCGACACACCACCGTGAAACTTGTGACAATGTCCAGCCTGACACCAATGAGCTGGATTGCTCAAGAAGCCGAGCTTTTTAACAGCAAGCGCAAGAATCTCGCTGAATTGTGCTTATCATATCGTGATTGTGGCTTTAAACCGTATGAACAACTTTAACGCGTAGAAGCGGATCCCTTACACGTCTTTGCGCGGGCCTTCCCATCATACCAAGAGCAAAGCAAGCACCAAAAACTCGCTCCGCGAACGGTTCTTATCCCCACCGGTCATCACTTCTCAGAAGTACCACCTGCGCTTGGAACAGCACTACACTCCATGAAGAATGCCTTTGGGCACCCAGATCTGGCTAGACAGCCGATAAGAACAAACTCTATTTGCGCATTGGGGAAAATTTATGCGTCCTCTCACCCGTATTTCAGCTTTATAAGCCAGTTGTAGCGAAGAAAATGTTCGTCTAGAGTGTCGTAGTGGTACCCATCACCTTCAAAATTTGCTGTTTACAGCTCTGCTTGTCTCCACAAGACAGCTATGTCAGCTATCAATAAAGGCCGCAAGGTCGGTTGCAATTTGCTAGCGGGAAGCACACTGCTGCGTTTGATCTTGTATATTCGCCGGGGTAAACGACGCGCGGTGGCCGGCACGAGCACCAGGACAATCTTGCCGGAGTGGTGCCTCAAGCACCCATCTGTTTTCAATCGAGTATGAATTTAGCTTCAACAGACCGAAACAGCCCTGATGCACCGCCCCGACCTACGAGACCTTCTACGTGAGGTGGGCCATTTTTTGGTCATTGAGCAGCGCCGACGACGGTTACTCCCCTACGCGGCTGGCTCTAGTGAGTTTTCTCGGGTTTTGCGACGCGATGGTATTGACTCCGTTCGAACGTGTCAGCGCACGTTCGAGATTTCGATAAGCCAAAACTAAGATTTTCTATCTAAGCTTTGTCATCGTACTGTCTGGCTTGACGCACCTCAGAGATTTAAAACCTCCTCGCCGGTTTAAAGCAGAATGTAGCTTGAACACAGATGGTAGTAAAGACATTTCTTTGTCTACACTAGAGCTGTTTACATTCAACCGTATCGTATGAGCGGACTCGTGGTATGGCTTTGGTAAGCCCACAGAGACCACAGGATGCGTTGCTCTCTTCGAGATGTTAATCCTTTTGCTGTGACCGTGATTGGTTAGATATGACCTCGTCTCAAGTACCCCGCAGGCAGACAGGTTACAATGTTTCGTAAAACGTTTTGCTCCATAACATAGTCGTGTATGTTCCGTCTTCATCTGTCACTGGCGGGTTGTTTTGCACATGCTGGCTATCAGGAAGACAAGTTGTTCTTCAGATCCTTCACCCATTAGGACCGGAGCCAGTTTTTGGCGGTAAAGAGGCACTTGGGGACTCACAAACCACTTTTGTAAGAATGGGCGTAGACCCGAAGACGCATGTTGTAACGGAGTATCATAAGTTTGTGTTCTATTTCGTTACGGATTCGGTACAGTTGTACTGAACACAATACCGTAGAGATGTACAAATTCACATTGCTTATTGGTGTGATTGTGATCATTTATCCTTGGTATACTATGATGAATGCCGAAAAAATAGAGTCTGGAGTTCAAGAGGGCTGCTAGCAGTACGTTAGAAAATGGAATAAGTGTAAAAAATGTTTTCAGTGTAAGCTCGAAATGCATTTATTCTAAAATATTTACGCTTGCAAAAGCTGGACTAACTAAGCATCTGACTACGGTATAGGTTCTCGGGCATGCCGGGCACGAGCGCACAAACCTTACCTCTGTGCATTTGACGATTTCTGTGTGCGAAGTGAATGGTCACCCTGATGCAAATGTACTGCGCTATTTGATACATAATTATTAAGTCGGAACAACTTCTATTTTCACAAATACATCGAGTATATTATCCATCACGCAATTCATGCGCTTCGTTTGATTATCTGATTGCTGATGGCCAGCAGTTAGCATTATTCATTTGGTTCGAGGTCCCTCAAATATCCAACAAATTTTGCTGTCATTCCCAAATCTATTCAAAACCAAGGCTTCACTAGCCATTACATGAAGGTACATCTTTGTATCTTCTCTATGGATTGTTGAAATTTCTAAAAGAAGCTCACAGTATGGTATTTTTAAAGCTTACGTGGCATCTTTATAAAACCACAAACTTTCTATGTGATATAGAGTGCTAGTTCCTACTTGGGGATCTGTACTGGTGACAGGACCGACGTGTCTCTGTCTTTCGAAGTGGGTGGTATCAAGTAAAAAACTGTTCTTCTCCCTCCACGTCGGGAAATGCTTCCTTGTCGCACAAGCGTGTGTGTGTGCTTGAGGGACTCTTGTGAACAGGGTCCTCTTACAGGAAATGTTTGATGACGTTACGCTGTTTTCTTGGTAGGGCATCGAAGTGTCACGTAGTATTTGGTTCCGGGAAAAAAATAATTATATGTCGCACGAGTGGTATTTCATCAGCAAATGATATAATGGACCCGCAGGATCTCTTCGAATAGCTGCCCCACTCCCCCCACTCAAAGATCGGCGAGTGTCCCCTATTAAACATATCTTCATGGTGGATGACGAGCTCGATTCTTCCTCCAAGACCAACTTCGGTAAATTCGCCGTCTTCGGCTCGCTAAACATATTCCCAACAGATAGTGTTTTTATGTGACGGGGTTACACGTATCCTGATATGAAGGGGTGGTTCACACAAGATGGTGGGACCATACAAGGGTGTGAGTTACATAGATGGTGTAGCGGGGTTACACGTACCCTGGAAACAGGGGTGTGTGTCACACGAGATGGGCATGACGTGACTGCACCCAAACAAGAATAT